TGTAGAGGGACATGAAAGGACAGTGATTTGACAACATAGAAGAGGTGAAGAAAAAAACGAGGGAGGTGCTGTCAGCCATCCAAACAGATGAGTTTAAAAAGTGTTTCCAAGAATAGAATTGCAGATTTGACAAATGTATTAGGTATAATGGAGAGTACTTTGAAAGTGAGGTTGTTTTGTAAAAAAATTTAAATACATAGCTTTTGGGAGGGATTCAGTGTTTTGGGGGGACACCCCCTCGTATGCATTGAGATCCATAACATTTTCTATTCTAGTGCATAGTGTTGCATAATTTTATTATATTACATTGTTTCTTTTAAAAGAGGAGAGAATTCCCATGTGCCCCTTCTCCCCTGCACCTAGTTGCTCTTAGTATAACATCTGATGAAGCATTCTGGTGGTAGAGCTGGTACAATTGATGGGGCAAGCCCACCGTTCACATGAGGGTTCCCTCTTTGTGGTGAATAATCCTGTGGGTTTTGACAAATGCTCATGTCATGTACTCACTATTGTACAGTATCACACAGACTAGTTTCATTGCCCTGAAAACACCCTGTGCTTCACCATAGGAAATTATTTGTGCAACTCTCCAAAGGCAGGAATTCACTCTCATTCCAAAGGCTAACAGATGTTAGGATTATTTTATTTTATTTTAAATGTACCTTTTCAAAGTAATAAGCCTGATACTGTAGTTGTTAGTGTTTTTGAACAGCGGAATGGGTGAGCGATTTAGAATGACTTTCTGCGGGTTGCAGGATAAGTGCATATAAGGTGATCCTGGTCCTCTCCCTTTGGGTTCACAGGCCAAGCCACAGTCCTTCTCCACGAGCCATTGGTCAGCTCAGCAATCGTATACTGGGTGTTTGGGACATGCTAAGCTCTGTTCTAGTCACTGATGCAATAATAAGTACAGATGGAAATTCTATTCTCATGATGCTTCCAGATAGACAGAAAACAAAAGGATTAAGATATAGAGGGTATTAAAAGAGAAGGGTTAAGGAAAAAAATGTACGGCAGGAAGAGGGTAGAGGATGCTGGGAGACAGCCACTGTGACCATGAGGGAGAGACCTCACAGGAGGTGAAGGCGTGAAGCAGGCAGTTAGCCGACCCGGAGGCAGCACGTCTAGGGAGTAGAGAACAGGCAGTGTGACTGGTGCAGAGTGAGAGAAGCAAACAGGGGTTGCTTTCAAGACTTGCAATCTGACTGAGGGAGGTGGGAAGCACCAGGAGGGCTTCCAACAGAGAAATGGCACTGGCTGCGACGCTGAATACAGATGGAAAGGGACAGAGGAGGCGGTGCAAGATCAGTTAGATGGAGACAGAAGCGATTCTAGCAAGACCGGATGGTGGTTTGGACTCAGCAAGTCTCACTGAAAAGCAGTAGTACTTGAACTCTGGATACAGTCTGAGCAAAGGGGCAACTGCTCAGAGACTGAACTGAAGGTGGCGGGTCAGAGAAAGAAGATAAAGCCAGCAATCATGTTAGGGCAAATGGAAGGCTCGAGTTGCCATGCAATAAGATGGGGGAGACTGCAAAGGAGCAGCCCCTTAATATTTAATTTATTCATTCACCATTTCTGAGCAACAGGAATATGATACTATGAAGCAGCTAACCACTGACAATGAACTGTACATGTAAAATTTATTGACTGGGTATGTGATTGACTGGTTGGATATAGTTTCACTACAAAACAGAGGGAAAAATGTATGATGTGGCTTCCAAAAATTCCATTTCATCCCACAAAGTGGAATTTAAAAATAATGGAATTTTCCAGTGAACTTTTTGAAGTCCCTGTATATACATTCACACATTTTATGTTGAACTAAAATACTTAAGGCACTTTGTTTATATTTATATTCCCTGCCTTATCTGATTTTTAAAACTAACTACCAGTTCCAGCTGTGGTAGCTATGGTGGAATCTACTGAAATTATAAACATGTGATAAGAGAAAGGAAATAAGCCGACTACAGTGAAAGTGTATGGTGGCACGAACCTGGTGGGTAATTGGGTGTCACGTGCAGCAAATAAACAGCTCTGGATAACAGTAGATAGAGTCACAAAATTTAGTAGTTTCAAGGACTGGTACATGAGTTAGTCCCAGTGGATGGACAATTCTTAAACTCGGTGTGTTAGTCCGGGTTGACTAGAGAAACAAATCCAGAGACACTCATATGTGTGTAAGAGAGTGTGTGTCCTGCCTCCAGAGGAAGAGAGGAAAACTCCCAGAATCCTCATGAGAAGGCCACACCCACAGGGAGGCATCAATCAGGCTGTGACCCGATTGACAGGCCAGACTCCACCTTATAACCTATTTAACAAGTTGACATGAAATTATGTAACTAACACACTCGGTGTGGCTCTTCTGTTCAGTCTTTCTAAAGTCCACCAAATGGACTGGTCAAAAAACCTCACTGCCATCAAGGTGATTCCAATAAACACAGATCCCAATGGACAGAGTAGAGCTGGCCCTGTGGGTTTCCAAGACTCAAACTCTTTATGGGACTAAAATGCCTCTGGTTTGAGGACTGGTCAGGTTTGCCATTTCACCCAGTAAAGTGAGCCACCTTAAAAGCAGAAAGAGAGAATTCATGAACAGCAAGAAAGAAGCAGCAGGAGCATCATGCGTCTGAGGTGCCCCCAAAGCAGCAGCAGGGGAGCAGCACTGAGCCGGTGAGACAGAGCCATGAGGCAGGGCGGTGGGCTTCCTGGCTGAGTACCTTTGGGCAGGAGGCTGGTTTGTAGAGTGGCATATCCATAAGCATTTATCAGCACTAAATCAGCTTTGTAACACTTGCCTGCGCTGGATGGAGGTCAAAGACTGAGAGGCCCAGGAACAGGGAGACGCGTGCTGCCAGCGGGGCTGGGAAAGTCACTGCTGACTAAAGAACTATATCCTTAACATTTTGTTATCTGGATGGGGGTGGATAAGCTTCCCTAATAAGCTTCATAATCCCAGGTAAAGAAGGTTGGAGGATGGAGGCATGTCTGACCTTGGGCAGATATGAAGTTGCATTCTCCCCTCCCTTCTGCAGCTAGAGATCATGCCATTTCCTTACATATAAACTACAATAATCTCAAATGTGCTAGAAATTAATATATGCAGACAACTGGCCTCAAATATAGAAGTTCCTACTAGGCTGCTGTTTACTGCAAGTATGTACACAAGAAGGCTCGATTTTTACAGGGTAATCTTGGTCTAACTTTTTCCCCCAGGTGAACAAATCTCAAATGTAAGTTCTTTGAGTCATGATGCTGTTTGAAAACTTGCTTTTCTGGAAAGGCAACTGGAGAAAGTCTTTGGACCTGGGTTAATGATAAAGACAAAAATTAAAAAAACAAAAAAACGAGAAAGACACCTGAGGCAAAGAGAGCGGGTTCAAGCAGTGGTCCAGGTGAGAGAGGAGGCCTGATGTGAGGGGTGACGATGGCTATGGAGAAGGGGGCGTGGAATCAAGCAACGTTTGGGAGACAGACTGATGATCCTTGATGACCAGGTAGATGTGGAGGAGGACAGAGCCCTCCCAGATAAGGGGAATGGGGGCCCGTGAGCACTCATTGTTTCCTAATGCTTTCCACACATATCATTTTCATTTTAAATGAACATTTACATTATTCAATTGTCCAGCCCCTCAAATAGTAATTTTTTTCAAAGATTACATCAAAAAGTGATTATCCAAAAGACTGCTACTTTGTTGCTGCTTTTAGTTGCCATCAAGTTAATTCCGACTCTGTGGTGACCCCCACGTGCAGAGTAGAGCTTTGCTCCACACATCACCAGACTAGGTGGGTTCGAACTGCCAGCCTTTATGCTAATAGTTGGGTATTTATCCACATGTGCCACCTAGGAACTCCCAATAAGGTGTAACACTTAAATCAATTTTACTTACAGAAAGAAATGGACTAACATGAAGAGTCATAGGGAAAGAGCTACTCTCTTATCCACTTCTTTAATAAGGCCTTATTTAATTCAACACCTATTTTGTTCATTCAGCTAACCATAGTGAATACCTGATACATGTCAGGCACTATTCAATGCAGTGGAAATGTTGTGGAGGGGAGAGGGGCTGTGTATATAGCAGATACCTCCTCTCACAGAGCTCACATCCCAGTAAGTAAAGACCATCAACTAAATGCTCACAAAACGGCGCGCCAGCACCTTGGAGATGAGGTCTAAATGCTCAGATGATAAGAACGCAAAGCCCTCTCCATCTGGCTCCTACTTACCTTTCCGACTTCACAGCCCAGGTTCCTGTACTGATCTCACTAACCCAATTAGAGATCTCACTGGCCCGTATATGTTCTGTTCATTTTTTCAATTCCCTACCACTCTCCTCACGGGGGAACTGTCCCTTTGCCATCCACAAATATGCTATGATCCTGGAAGACCCCCTTCAAGAACCATTGCTTTCTACAAACAGACACCTCCCAGACAAAAGTAAGTGTGGCCTCTCTTCCTTCTATGAATCCCTATGAACTCCTACATCATGGCCAAAACTTAGGACACTTGGGCTACTGGACAATACACCTACTACCACCCCACTTGACTAAATGCTTCCACATTCAGGGTCAGTTTCAGGGGTGTATGATGTGTGCCATGCTTGACTTGATGCTCTGGTGTCACCATCTTGATATTCTTAACAAATTATAAACAAGAACAATTTGCTCTGTGCACAATGGTCCTTGAAATTTACGTAGTGGTCTTATTTATGTTAAGTATCTCATTTAAACCTCAGTCCAAAGGAGGTGGGGTGGGGTGGGAGATAAAGTAAGACTGTAATCCTCTAAAAAAAACAAAAACAAACAAACAAAAAAGCTGATTTTAACTTTCATAAAGTCCACAGGTTTAAGAGGGATGATCTTCCTTTTAAGATTAGTACGCTAAAGATACACCAAGTCGGAAAGCTGACTACTACTTAGTAGCATTGTTTTGTGCTAAAATAACAAGAAGATAAATATTAAAATTTAAAAAAAAATTTATAGCCAGAAAACCTTCTTACCAGCAACAAATCCAACCACCAGATCCTTTCCAGTAGTAGAACGCTGACCTTTGACCCAGACTGCTTTGAGGCTATTAAAAGTGTAGAAATAGACAAAATTGGAGCAGCAGAGACTGGAGATTACTGGAAACCACCCTCGATATGGCGCCAGGCTAGAGGTGAAAACACAACAAGCAAAGGTAAGGTCATGGACAAATGCCAATAGAGAAGGGCAGAGATAGGCCTAGGAAAGCCAGCCCGCACATATCCTCCAGGCTGACTCCTCTACTCCGACCAGGGACGGCCTGCTGTAAGCATACCTGCCATCTGGGAGGGGGTCCAAATCAAGAAGCATTATCTAGCATCATGGGTATCATGGATACACAAGTTCAACAAGCCATTTACTGTTCATTATCATTTCCTTTAGTAGCCCTGGAAAACCATTTGCCCATCGTTGGTAGTTAATATAGGAACTCTCGTAGTGCAATGGCTACACAATGGACTGTGATCAGCAAGGTTGGTAGTTCAAAACCACCAGCCACTCCTCAGGATAAAGATGGGGCTTTTGACTCCTATAAAGAGTTAGTCTCAGAAACTCACAGGGGCAGTTCTACCCTGTCCTACAGGGTCACTGTGAGTTGGCATTGACTTGCTGGCAGTGAGTTTGATTTGGGTTTGGGTTCATTAATATAACATCATTCATGCCTGATGCTGGGGCATGAATACTCAAGAAGTAATACATATGAGAAATAAGTGCAAAAAATATATATAAATACAAAATGACAGCAGCCTATCAGAAGGGCCCAGGAAACACACGGAAAGGGTTCCCACTGGCCACACTCACACAAGCAAGGACCAGAATTAAGCACAGTAATCAACTGTAAACTCCTGGAAAGGCATGAATTCCAATAATCAACAGGTAAATAAGTAAATAAATCCCATTTCTGATACAATGCCAAGACCGGGACATCTGGTGGGAATGCTGGAGTTGGAAGTTGGCTTTTTGAAAACTGATGGAAAATTGAAGAGGAAATTTTGATAAGGTGTAGGATATTTGTATTGTCTTAAAGTGTCTCCCTGTACACTACTGACAGTTTTAAGGGGTAAAAATAGCACTTAAATCAAATCATGAATGAAGGGCAGGTGGAGACTATGTGCCTTTAGGCGTGACACCCTGAGAAGGATATGAAGCACTGTGTATTATCCTGGCTAAGAATGCGCAGCCTCAATCTCTTCATGAGGAAATATGAGACACACTTAACATGAGAAAGACCCTATTAAAAAGGGGAGGGGAAAAATTTAAAAAAAAATAAAAAGGGGAGGGAGGAGGAGCTATAGTCTTTAAAAATGGCGATGCTTTAGAGGGAAAAGGGCTTTGATATGCATGGCTTTCTTTCAAAAACTTCAGGGAAAAAATGTGTGTGAGTGTGTAATAAAGAGAGGAGGGTGAAGAGTATCAATGGACAACAAATGGGCGGAGTGGGCTGGGGGCACAGGACAGGCGAATCTGAATAAAGGAGATATTCTTTGTACTATTTTTACTTTTTATAAATTTGAAATTATTTCCAAATAAAAGGTGAACCACAACAAAGCAGTACACCATCTGTCTGGAGATACCTGATAAGAACCAACTAAGCAACCACTATCTCCTTTGGTTTAAAGCCCACAGCTAACGAGCTGACTCAGACTCATAGCACCCAACTGGGCAAAGCAGAACTGCCTTAGCAAGATTGCAGGGCCACGTTCCTTAGAGACGCACACGGCCACATCTTTCTCTCACAGAGCAGCTGGAGGCTTTGAACTGCCAGCCTTTTGGTTCAGCCTTAGTGTCAAAGAAGACTTAACAGTGGAGAATCCAAACGTCCAGTCACAGATCTTGAGGGAATTAAAAACAATTATGTACTGACAGGCGAGGAACTGACAGCCTACACAACCGACACTAACAAGGCGCCGAGACGAACAGGTAGACAGTGAGTGGGTGTATTGCTAGGCACACGACTTCTTCCTGAAGCTGCCTGACAGAAGCATGGTGAAAGGTGCAGTACTCACAGGCCTTCTTCTTTAATGATCTCCAGAAGCACCATGTGTGTGGTTTTGGACTTTCTTTTCTCGTCAACTACAAGAGCAAAGAGGATGCATTCAGACAAAAACCTGTGTCACTGAAATGCTATTTATACCCCACCCCCATCCCTCTGTGTAGCCACATACTAGCTTCTCACCTTTTGATGCCTAGGTTTCCTCTGCTAGTCATGAACCAGACACATTTTAATTCAGTTGCTAATCTCAACAGATAGGACAAGAAATGTGTTTCTTTTATTTTATAAGGCTCTCATTGTTTTCTAAAGCTACCTTTATAATAAAAATGACAAGACACACATACATGCACATATCTTCTCATGATTGTCTTAACATAAATAAGGGAGGAAAGAAATGGCCGCCTTCCTTCTACAGAGGCTATAGACACAAAGGCTCTACAGGTGACATGCTGGCGGGCAGCACAGCCAAGGTTAACAGTCCTGGTTCTGAAGTTTGCACTTTGTATTCAGTCTCCCAGGCTGAAAAATAAAAGCCTCAGTAGGATGAGAACACTGCTTTCCCTGGCACACACACAAAAAGCTGAGCCCACCTCAGTTAGCTTCGAGTTTCCTACCATAATTGAAAAAACACTTGGAGAACATTAAGCAATTCCCTAAGAATTAAAATTGCTACCAGTATTATTTGTGGGATGGTAAATTAAGAGAACCCCAGAGCGGCCATCAAAATCATCAAACTCACAGACACATTTACCCTTTGACCCAACAATCCCAATCAGAGAACGCATCTCCTAGAACTTATAGAAACACAGTGATATGTGAACAGGCCATTTTCACATCAGTTTGTCATCATAGCAACAGAGTGGAAACTACCAAGAGCCGACCAGCAGGCATGGTGTGGTTACCCCAGCACTGCAGCTGTGAGGAGGCCCGAGGCTCCTGCTGTGCATCTGAACACACTAATGGAAGACACGGGGCATAGAACGGGGAAAAAGATCCTCTTATTTGCATATAATTCCAAGAAGAAAAAGATCCTCTTATTTGCATATAATTCCAAGAAAAAACTCTGCTATTTGAGAAACTAATAAAAACATTATCTGCAAGGGAAGAGGTGGGAGAAAGCTGGGTCTTCCTATTCCCACAATGAGTCAGTTTTGAAAACTCAAAGGGACAGCTCTACCCTGTCCCTATAGGGTTGCTATGAGTCAGAATCTACTCAATGGCAGTGAGCTGTTTCCTTCTCTGACATACAAGGTGTTGACATAGGTCAGAATCCACTCCCGGGCAACTTTGGGTTGGGTTCTATGGAGTCCCTGGAGCCCTGGTGGTGCAGTGGTTAAAGTGCTTGGCAGTTGACCAGAAGGCTGGCAATTTGAAGCCACCAGCCGCTCTGCAAGATAAAGATGTGGCAATCTCCTTCCGCAAAGATTTACAGGCTTGGACACCCCATGGAGAGTTCTACTCTACCGAGAGGATAGATCACTATTAGTTGGAACTGGCTCGACAGCTGAGGATTTTGCTGTAGCAGAATCTTTCAAAACAAAACTCACTGCCACTGAGTTGATGCCTACTCACAACGACCCGACAAGACAGGGCAGACTGCCCAGTGGGCTTTCAAGTCTATAACTCTTGATGGGAGTAGAAAGCCCTGTCCTCCTGTGGAGCAGGCTGGTGTTTTCAAACTTGCAGTTAGCAGCCCAACGTGTAGCCACTGCTCCACCAGGACTCCCTAGGAGGTGCAAACTATTAACAGGCTTGACTGCTAAGTACATGGTTGGAGGTTTGAGTCCCGAGGATCCTCAGAAGACAGACTTTGTGACCTACTTGTGAAAAATTCAGCCACTGAAAACTCTATGAAACACAGTTCTACCCTGACACACATGGTGTCACTGTAATCCGGAATAGAATCGATGGCAATGGTTTCCTTTTTAAACATTGCTTCCTATTCTCCCCAACCAAAAACACTGAAACAAACCAAAATCCAACTTTCCACTTTGTGCTTACAATCAAGTCACGCGGCTCACTGGAAAGAATGATAGGGATTCCAAATTATGATTGCAAGCCCACTCAGGTTGTCTGCGGTTAGAAAGTGGGGAGGCCATGACTCGTCATGAACAACTCTCTGGTGATCACAGCACAGCAGCCACGGCTAACAGGAAAGTGGGGAAAATAGGCCACAGTGGATCTCTGACGAGAGAGAACTGTCTCACAGGGTTTCGAATTCAATAGAAAACCATCCTTGCATCCTGACACCCAGTGCCGTGCACCATACTACAAAAGAGAAACACTCACCCTGCAGTCGGAGTCTGGCTGTGTCCAGAGGGAAAAACACTGTCATTGCTGTCACGCTGCCCTGAAAAGGATAAAGAGCCTGTAGTCATTAAAATATCACACAAAAGGTGACAACTTTTAAATGAAAAAAAGTACACTATCAGCAATATGTCAGATCAGATGTTATTAATCTTAATCTGCTGTGATGACTATTGTTCACAGGTCTATAAGTATATATCTAAACAGTTTCGGGGGGGGGGGGCTTTGAAAAGGAAAAGGTCACACTGGAAATGCAACCTAGGACACACATCAAAGAGAGCAGGTATCTTTTCCTCATTAGTTATGTCAAACATGCCCACTCAGAAATCAAAATATCCAGGAACTGAAAACCAATACCTGAAGGTTCCCAGACTAATTTGACCTACCACCCCCCTTTTCAAGAAGAGAAAACCATACATATACATATATATTTCTACATATATTCCCAGCATGCCTCCCCATGCAAGTAAAAACTTCTGTACTATATATAGCCCATAATCCAGAATAAGGTGTGCATATCGGCTTTTTCAACACCCCCTAAATCATTCCAGTGCCTCCCAGGGATTAGTATCATCCACTTTGGGCAACACAGATACACACTTCTATTCCCTGCACTTAATATATTCACTCCAAAATGAAAAGGCAAGTAAGAATCATATTGTTGAGGGAGGGAGAGGAAAAAGAAGAGCTGACACCAAGGGCTTCAAGCAGAAAGAAAATGTTTTGAAAATGATGATGGCAAAATATGTACAAATGTGTGTAAAACAATTAATATATGGATTGTTATAAGAGCTGTAAGAGGGATTTAAAATAAATCCCAATAAAAGGATTTTTTTTTAATCATATTGTTGTTTAAAACTATTTTATTTTTTAATTAAAATAGGGATAATATCTTTGCTAAAAATTCTGTAATTGTCTTATTTAAGGTAGTATTGTGACAAGCATAAATTATTGGGGTTAAGGAAAAGGGGAAAAACAAAAACAACCAGTCTTTGCATTCATACAACCTTCTGACATATAAAAACCACAAGTACATTCTTAGGGATAAAAATTACATGCATGCAACCTCCAGTTGGGTTTATGGTCCTCAACCCACATACAGGCCCAGTGGGATATATTCTTAAGCATCAGATCAAGTTTAGGCTGTTGTTGATAGGTGCTATTGAGTTGGTTCCAACCCATAGCGACCCTATGCACCATAGAATGAAACACTGCCCAGACCTGCACCATCTTCACACTTGTTCTTAATGCTTGAGTCATTATTGCAGCCACTGCCTCAATTCATCTCATTTAGGGCCTTCCTCTTTTTCACTGCCCTCTACTTGACCATGCATGATGCCCTTTTTGGGGGACTGGTCTCTCCAGTCTCGCCATCCTTGCCTCCACAACCTTATGCATAGTTTCAGGCTACTGGTCCCATGATAGTGCAATGCACTGAATTATCTAACATGGGTCTTCTGGCCAGAGTCTGTGTTACTCCCACCAAACAACCTTTGTTTTCCTGATGCATCTGGGTAAGAATATGGGGGAAGACACTGATGGATTAGATGCTTCAACTGTGAGTGATGGTTACAAGGTTCGTTGTGATTGCCAGTCTGCCAGGTATAAAGTGAGGCACCTCAAAAGCAGGAGGAGGATCTCACTGCTAGCAAAAGAGCCAAGAGTGGAGTACATCAGGACCCCAAGATCTCTGCCCATTGAACTCCCTGATCCAGGATCTCAAGACGACATTTCAAGAACTGCTATATTTTATATTGTATGAGGATATACCAAAAATATTACTACAAAAATCATAGAAATCTTTACTTTACAAAAATATCAAATTGTGAAACTCTTATCTCTCAATATAGGCTCCCTCTAGGTGCATACACTTCTGAAGGTGGTGTTTCCATTTCTCTAACCCTTCCCTCAAGAATTCTGTACTCTTCAATTTACACCAAGTCAACACAGCAGTTTTCACAGCCTCAACAGACACTACCCACATCAACGAGACTAGATGGAAGGAAGAAGAGAAGGAATGGCTAGAGAATCAGTAAAAACTTCACAGTGAATGATGAGTGTTAAGTGACAACTCTGATATATACATTTTATAATCTTTATTTAGTCACACCAACATCAAGAATTGGGTAAGTCCAGGGAAATGCTCCATTCCAGCATAAGCCTCTATTTCATTGCCTGGGTTAGTCTTCCCTTCTGGCCCCATGTTCATCAAGCAATGCGTTCGTCTATAAAGGAATGATTAAATAATGCCTGTCAATTAACTGCTCTTGCTTTTTTCTGCAATTGAGAAAGGAGGGGGGAAACAAAGACAGACAGCAATAAAACCTAAACCCTTTGCAAGGTCTGGACAAATTGAGTGAAATTTCTGCTGGGTGTTGTCCCTCCCTCTATCCAATCAGTGAGGAAAGAGGCTGGGGAGCAGGTTTGGTTATCTGCACTAGAGTGGAAAGCGAAATCAAACTCATATCTGGGTCACGGAGTGGGTTCTGGAACATTTTTAGATTAGATTAGAGATGTCACAGAGCGTACTTGAAGTAGGCAAAGAAGGCTGATTTGTGTATGTGGGTGGGAAGTAATGGCTGTAGGTAAAACGAACTGATCTTCCCTTAGGGAGAGGCCCTGTGGTGGGGAAAGTCACAAGGATGTGTTGGTTCCCAGGTGCCCACGGTGCCTTCCCTGTCTGAAGACAAACCCAGACCTGCTGCTTCCAAATGAATCCCCAAGGCCAAGAGGATGTCAGTACCGACTGCAGGAAGGCAAGGGATGGAGGGGCCACTCAGAGAAAAGTTAGGCATGACAACGAAGTTATATTCTTCTCACCTGGGTGAGGGCCTAGGCGGCCCATCCTTCTGCTTCTCTGAGCACTGTGTGGTATAGCTCCTGCCAACAGCTTTGCCTAGGAGAACTTGTTCTTGGTTTCTACAGGTTTCACAGCCAGTGCCTTCTCTGTTTCCTTCTTCTTTTCTAGCGAAACTCCAATTTAGCTGAAATTACTTCTGTATTCTTCCAGTCCTTTAAATTCCTCCATTGCTCTTCTCTTATGTCCTTCTGCTAAGGAACCTCAAGGAAATTGGTCTCATATCCATCTATGCCTTTCACCATGGTTTTGAATTTTAAGTGCTCCTCATTCTCTGATGCTTCCTGTGTTTCTGTTCCTGCCTTTATATAGCGATCAAGGGTCATAATCCTCCGAGTTTTCTGAATACTGAGATTTTCCAACTTTATCTTAATCTTATTGCCTTCTTTTGTGCTGTTCATCTAGTTCTGCCTTGGACATAAATCTCTTGGATAACAGGGTTACCTTACCATTATCTGCCCCATCCATAAATGAACTGAACTCAGTGGTGCTCACCCCAAACTGCCATCACAAAAGCCACCTACCTGCCCTTGAAAATAGAAAAAGACTAGAAGTTGTGTGGGAAAACCCTGGTTCTGCCTCATATATGTTTGGAGTCTGATTTCATAACTGTCTGCATGTTCCTGAAAGTGTGGCTTCTTTCTTTTTCACATACATACTCACAATCTCAGGCAAGGAATACAGGACTGCCAAGGGACATGGAAAACAAGTACTCTCCTAACGGAGGGCAATTTGACAATAATTATCAAAATTACAACACACATTTACTCTGACCCAGTAGTTCCACTTCCAAGAATTATCCTTCAGATAAACTCATGTGGAATGATGTCTGTACAGGGTTATTCGCCGAGGTACACCCACTCTTCACTTACCAACATGACTAGGTAGCGAAGACCAGCTCATTATACGAAAACTGTCATCTTGTGAAAATGGAGGAGGACTACAAAACTTCATACCTCACCTGCACTGGGAACATTCTGCTGGGCCCCTGATGAGGGCACCTGCTACCATTACCTTCCCCTCACCTCAGGGCAGCTGGACTCCCAGCAGCACCTTAAGGAAGGGTCGTCCAGTCTTCTAGAGCCAGGGGTACTCAAGTACCACTCCCAATTCCCCATCCCCAAGGCCTTTTCCCTTCTGTCCTCTCCTCCCTCATTGCATTTTCAGGATGGATGGCCTCAGCTCATCCCTTCAATGACCCCAAAATACCTTTAATGGCTTTGTTAGGGCAAGAGGGCCTAGATGCCACAGGGGGATTCTGGTGGTGCATACACTGTGCACTGGTCCCTCTGATGGCTCCCTATCACCATGTCCTATGAGAACTGACAATCGGAGCTTCCTCCAAAGCCCATCAGCCAGATTAGTCCTTTACCAAAATCCGTAGCCCTGCCCAGGTAGCTGACCTTGTCCTCACTTGTGGCACACTGAAGAAGTGAAGAGGCTGCATAGGTACTGCTTCTGCGACCCAAGGTACCCCCATCTCAGGACTCCTTCTGGCCATGGTTCATCCTCTTCCTGCTGCCTCGCCAAGCTTGGAGCTGGGGCCAGATCCTGGGATTTGGCTTCTGTCCCCACTCCAAGGATGACCCACCTTCAGGACACCAACTGCCAGTGCCCTAGTCTTAATCCTCTGTGAGCACCCAGGACCTGTTTGGAGCATCTTGTTCCACCAGCTCCCCACCTGATAATCTGCTGGCTTAGGGAGACCACATGCCCTCACTCCTCCTGGGTGGTGAAATACTATGCAATATGAGCTTCCCTTCTACTTGTACATGGGATCCACCAGTCAGGAATCCTGTCAGAGATGTTAGTGTTCATTAGTGCCAGGAAAAATTACAGGTCCCAAGCCCTGGAACAGCAGACTAGGAAGAGGGGCAGAAAGCTTGTCCAGGAGTCTGTTACGGGAGACTGTGGAGAATGATACACATTCAAGGCAATGCAGGAGATCACCATCTTTGAGTGGGGCACTACTGCTTCCAACTCTGCTCAAGATCCAATAGGTAAGAGACTTGGTTGCTATGCAAAGCATGTGCTACCTTTATTTTTTAAGAGGGTTTCTAGCAGGGCCTCAACCCATAATTTTTCTCATTCTGGTTCTCCCAAATTTTTAAAATACCTGTAAAATAATGTTTGTTTAAAAATTTGGCTCTGTTTCATTTTTCCCTTCTTGACCATGACTGAACTAG